GTCCTCAACCTTTTTGGGGCTGCAGACCGGCTGTGGGGAGCAAGCTCCATGTGCGGGGGGAGCATGTCACGCCCGCCCACGAGCATGACACATCCCACGGGTACGATACACCCCCTTGAGTGTGACACACTCACTGCAGGCACAAAGCACCCCACACAGCGTGACATGCCCACCACGCGGTGTGCGGGGGGTAGGTGGAGATCCATATCCACAGCCGTGTTCTGGCAAGCCCACGGACTGGCACTGGGCTGCGGACTAGGGGATGACGACCCCTAATCTAGAAGACAATCCTTTGCCCACTTCTGCTTTAGAAAGTTGATTTATTTTTTTAAGGCTTCTGAATTTTGTTGGAAATTTGTAAGACCAGAGCAGGTAGCCTGCTGCAGATATTCTCGCTCTTACCCTGAACTCATGGAAGGAAATAAATCACTCCTTATTGTAGAAGTAAACGAATGAATAGGGATACAGCTTCAACGTTTTTGTCATCCCTCTCCTATTACTAAGGGAGAATGAGAAGAATCTTGTGTAGGAAGTGCTGCTTAGCTTATCTATGAAATCTACTTTTAGAAGTAGAGCAGTGAACCTTCAGTTGGAGGAGATGGCATACTTCTGTCTGCTTGGGGAGGGGACAGTTGAAGAAAAGGAGAGCAGGCAATAAAAAACTTTCAGGAAAAATGGGTGATGTTAATCCTACTTTAAGTTTCTGCACAATTCCTACAAAAATGCATAGAAAGTTGGGTTGACTGTAACACAAATTCCAAAACTCATATTATGGTGATACCTTTATTAGACCAACTGGAAAGGTACAAAATTATCTTTACCAACTTGTGATAAGAATGTCTTTGTCAAGCAGGTTATAAAAATGTAGAAAGAAGGAGCTCAATGTTAAAGGAGCACAGTCTCCACATTGTTTTAATATTTAAGGGAGAAGATGTTGCAGGCACTAAAAGCAGGGCCCATTAATTCTGAGATTTCATCCTGAATGGCCCCCAGTTTTTCTAAAAACAAGGAAGAACATAAAAACCAATAAACGTCAGCCATATCTTGGGGATAGCCCTCTGTTTCATTTCAACTTGCAGTGCTACAAAAAAAAGATGTCACCTTGTTGAAAGCAGCACAGCTTTTGAGTGTATATCCCCTGACCAAACGTTGAAGAACAACTTTTTTTTTTAAAAAAAGCAGATTCTGCCTTTGAAATTCTCATTTTAAAAATACAAATAACCAAAACTGTGTATACCAAAGCAACAAGAAGGCAGAGTGTGTTGGCTAATTTCTGTAGGGCTGAGCCTGGATAATGTAATCTAAAGCCTCTCCTGGGAAGGGCTTTCAGGCTATAGGAGCATTTGCATCCAAAACTGTTCCTGCTCCACTATGGAACATAATTGATAGAGAGGAATCTGACAGCAAGAAGTCCTGTAATGGTCTAAGCTTATTTAAACAGCACACTTAAAAAATCAAAAGGATTTGATGTCAAGAATGTAAAAACCTTATTTTCGAATGAACCAGATTAGTTTCCAAGACACCTGTCTAATCTAGTCCAGATCACATTTATTGCAATTAAACTACTTAACATGGGAGACACTACAGCAATGCAAACAATGATATAATTTGGTCTAGGTCATGGGGGCTAATGAATAAACTACAAAAATAATGAAACACAAATCTACTTTTATCATTTCAAGTGGCTACTACTTATTAAAAGGCTTGTAGTGTTTCTTTTATAAAGCACAGAAATGGAACAAACAGTTAAGACCAAGCAGCACATTAAAATATAAGAATTCAAAGAATTTAAAATTTAAATAACAATCATCCGTGGGAAGGGTTTTGTTCCATTTTGTTCAAATATAAATAATCAAAATATATAATTCTAAGCTTCATTTGTACAGAAGCCTTACACAAAAACGGCCACTTTTGGTAGCAAGAAGAATTTATATAGAAAAATAGACAATGCCTCCCGCCCCCTTCCTTGAGTAACAGACATCTCCAAAGTAGAGAAAACAAAACATTTTAGATGCACCAGATTTGCAAATGATTGCTTCTCCTCACTGGAAATTATTTGGAAAAATGTTATAGCTCATCATGCGTATAAACAAATTCTCTAGCAGATATAAATCCATCCTTATCCTCATCTTCTTTATCAAATATATCTTCAACCAAAATATCGTGGTGAGTATCATTGACTGGTGCACCATGCCTTTCAAATTCCTTCTTCAAATACACTTTTACCTATAGAACAAAAGAAGGAAAACAACATTTTAATCAAATACAGTAGCTGTTGAAATGCTTTAAGTAAGTGAAAGAGAGTTGAGAAAGCTGACCTCATCCAATTCAAAATAGATACAATTTTGCCAAAAGTGACAATTACTTCAATGTCTCCAGTGTTTCCACAATCTATAGAACAGGCTATATATAGACATTTTGTTAAGGTTCACACAAGTTTTGTTTAACATGCCGCAGCCAGCTGATGAAGTGCCAGGACACATCTCAGTTGTGGAGCTAGGCATGTGATCAAGCACATGGCCAAGACACACCCTGGCACTTTGTCCACTAGCTGCAATTAGCCACCGCAAGTTATGCAATCCATATACAAATGCCAATAGCATGCTGGTCATTAAATGCTAACTAGTTTATTGAACTAAACTATTCCATTGTTAGCGATCATCCTTCAGCAAACCAAAGCAAACACTAACCAAGGTTTGTCTTTGAACAAAACAGAAAACCACATTTAACTGAAAACTGCAATAAGAACTTCTGACCTTTTGTGTACAGCAGTATTGGATAACTGATTGGTTCAAAATTGGGAAAGGAGTACGACAAGGCTGTATATTGTCCCCCAGCTTATTTAATTTATATGCAGAATACATCATGCGGAAGGCTGGACTGGAGGAATCCCAAACCGGAATTAAGATTGCCGGAAGAAATATCAACAACCTCCGATATGCAGATGATACCACTCTGATGGCAGAAAGTGAGGAGGAATTAAAGAACCTTGTAATGAGGGTAAAAGAGTAGAGTGCAAAAAACGGTCTGAAACTCAACATAAAAAAAAACCTAAGATCATGGCCGCTGGTCCTATCACCTCCTGGGAAATAGAAGGGGAAGATATGGAGGCAGTGACAGATTTTATTTTCTTGGGCTCCATGATCACTGCAGATGGAGACAGCAGCCACGAAATTAAAAGACGCCTGCTTCTTGGGAGAAAGCGATGACAAATCTTGACAGCATGTTAAAAAGCAGAGACATCACCTTGCCAACAAAAGTCCGAATAGTCAAAGCTATGGTTTTTCCTGTCGTGATGTATGGAAGTGAGAGCTGGACCATAAAGAAAGCAGACCGCCGAAGAATTGATGCCTTTGAATTGTGGTGCTGGAGGAGACTCTTGAGAATCCCCTGGACTGCAAGGAGAACAAACCTATCAATTCTAAAGGAAATCAACCCTGAGTGCTCACTGGAAGGACAGATCCTGAAGCTGAGGCTCCAGTACTTTGGCCATCTAATGAGAAGAAAAGACTCCCTGGAAAAGACCCTGATGTTGGGAAAGTGTGATGGAAAGAGGAGAAGGGGACGACCGAGGATGAGATGGCTGGACAGTGTCTGCGAAGCAACCAACATGAACCTGACACAACTACGAGTACTGGATAAGGAAGAGAGGAAACATTTGAGGCAATACAGAATTGTAATCTAATGTTATGTGTTAACTTGGAACCAGCTGCAGGATATATCTCACGACACAGCAAATACAATCTGCATTAATTGTAATCTAATGTTATGTGTTAACTTGAACCAGCTGCATGATATCTCACAACACAGCAAACACAATCTGCATCCTTTGCCAGCCAGCAGCTCTGATTTAAAGCGCTAGGTCTATTTTGGTTTTTTAATTTGCTAAAACTAGACACAACTAGTACAAGACACGCAAGCTAACTTAGTGACAAAGACTTATTTTTTTCTGCTATGTTCTACAACTAAAGATGTGGGGAAAAAATCTCACCACTGACAGAAAATGTCAAATCCATTTGGCTCATGGAGACAATAACTCAAAGTCAAGAACATTATTGGCTTTTCACAATTAGAACAAAATGTAGTTTGTTTAAAGCTCATTTCTGCACAGACCTCTAATTTCCCTTTATGAGGCTAAAATTAAAGACACAGCACTCCTAGTGCTACTAGATTTATTAATTGATGAACTAAGGCAACAATCACTGTATTTTCCAATACAGCGCATTTTATAGAAATGTGCACAGAGCAATTGCGAAAAACTATGTATTTTCTCCAAGATCAACAACAATAAAGCCCACTTGCTTGTATTAGCTCAAAGATAGGAGAAAGTGTTTTCCCACTTAACATACACATTTGAATCAAGTTAAGGTTTACAGCTGCATCTGCAACATGTGAGGAATACTGTCTCTTTTGTGCAATTTTTAAAGTCTGAAGGGATAACAATAAGCAGAATTTGAAAACATTATTTTTGAACTACAACATCCAGAATTTCATGCCTTCATAGTATAAGAGCTGTAGTCTTGGAAAGTAACTTTTCCAAGCTCTGCTTATAAGTACTGTATACTGAATTGCAAACAGGTTTGAAGTGCATATAATTATTAAAATAACATAAATCAATTTGCCAACCTGCACTTTAAGCACTATACTATGTAGTTCTCTGTGGGATTTTTCTTCATTTCAACCTAGCTGAGTTTGCAACACAAACAATACAAGAGAAATTATTCACAAGTGCCATATTTGCACAACAAAATTTAAAAGGAAGCTAAGAATAGCACCCTCTTGTCCTGTTAAATACATGGAACACAATTGTAGAACACATTAGCCTATGGCTGATTCAATTTGTTCAGTTTTGTTGTTGATGTTGTTGTTGTTCAGTTGTTTTGTTTTGCTTTGATTATCTGTTAACGACAAGGCAGCAATCCATGAAGAAGTGCACCAATGGAGTGGTATATAAATCAATGAACTAAAATAAATAACCTACTCACCTCCTGCTTCGATAACTTCCAGTCATCATTAAGGTCCATTTCCTGAAAGGACTCATGAGATCTTGGTCCATTTCTGATTTCTAAAAGGTCAATGCTGAAGACCAAGGTGCTCTCAGGAGGAATTTTTCCTGCAAAACATGGTATATAAATACTGGGGAAAAAATCCTAAGTGTGCTATTAAAACTAGAGTTGGTGCTGGCTTGTATTTTAATATTAGCCTGGTTTTGACACCTAGAGTGATCAAAAGCATAGAAATCTATACAACTTGCTACTAAATTATATATACATTTACCTGGAAGTTAAGTCCCCCAAACTGCAAAGGAATACAGCTGTGAGTCCAGCTGCAGAGCTAGAGGTCCAAGTTCAATCCCTTACTGTGTCTCCCAGGAGAAAACCCACTCTGTGTGGCCATGAAGCTACACAGTCTCAGAGCGCACCTGAAAGAAGGGGGTGCTAAATCACTTCTGACTACTTTATATTTAGGAAATGCTGGCAAGGGTTGCTATAAGGTAGAACAGACTTCACAGAATGTATTCTATTATTATGAACTCAGTGGGGATTAGACATACAAGTATGTTTAATTCCCAAGGAGTTCTCTCTCTCTCTCTCTCTCTCTCTCTCTCACACACACACACACACACCTATCAATTATATATACAGTACAGGACTGTGTTGTTAGTGTACTTCGTACAGTCCTATACCAAGAATGCAAAAAAGTACTTCTGTATGTGGATGCATTATATGCACACAATCTCAACAGATATTTTTTGGATCCACCCACTTTGGATTTAAGACTAGTCATTTTAGGCTTTATATCTCTTGCATTAGTCTACCCAACACTGAAAACGGGCATGCAAAAATAGATGAACAGAAACATTTGGATTTCTTCACTCCAAGAAGGGAGGTAGGAAATAATGAGAACCAGTTCTAGCTTATTTTCTTTGGTTTCATTGGTAAGGATACAAGCAGCATGAATGGGTTCCCACTTGGCATATCTTACTTCTAGAGAATACAAGAAATTAATGGAATTGATTTTCTTCTTTCATGTATTTTGCACCACCCATGTAAAACCTGCAAGAATGGAGTTCAGAATTCTGTTTTTACTTTCATCTGCACATGTGACTGATGGTTGCACATGTGCAGTACAGCATGCAGACAAGTGTCATAAGGTTGAAGACTTGTGCCTTTCTAATTAGTATGGACTATGACACCATCCATCACCCACAAGTGTCCCTGCTCCCTCAAAGCTCAGCTGAAATCCTTACAACAGCTGAGAGAGAAACTGATTTTTTTCAGAAACAACATAATGTCACCAATTATCCCTGTTGCATGGGAACCAGCATGGTGTAGTGGATAGTTTTAGACTAGAAGCCAGGAGACATGGGTTCAAATCCTTGCTTGTGCATGGAAGTTCACTGGATACATGTGTGACAACTGCAATGAAATGTTCACTCCTTGAACATCTCATATACCTTGAGTATTAAGGTCACCACAAGTCAGAAGCAACTTGATAGAACATAACAAATCCCTGTTGTAATGCAAAGTATTTGAGGATAGTTTGGTCTTAACTTGATAGCTAAGAGCCATTAGTTTTCCCCTTTCTTTTATGCAGGACCTCCTCCGTTGTAATGCAAAGTATTTGAGGATAGTTTAGTCTTAACTTGATAGCTAAGAGCCATTAGGAGTTTCCCCCTTTCTTTTATGCAGGATCTCCTCATCATTTGTTGATAAGGCCTGATGCAGCTGTCTATACTTTGGGGCTCTCCTTGGGGGATGGTAGCAGCTATGGGACCTTGTCATGATGAACTTCTGCACTTCCAAGTGAATCAACATTTTTGGGCTTATTCAAGGAGGTATTTCTTCTGCTTTCTCATGAGGTGATTTCTGCTTGTCTGATGGCAATCTAGAAGTGTTGCACAATAAAATGGACTGTGCGTAATGCTCTGCCCACAGAGCACCAAGATTTGGTCTACTCTAAAGCTTTTAAGAAGCACTATGTGATGCTATTAGTAATATTCCAAAAATTGGTTTCTTCCCTGTTTTATTGATACAAGCAATCATAATAAGCAGTAGAGCAGAACTTCTGAATCACTGCATGGCAAGTTAAAGAATCTTCATGTCTAAAGCTGAAGAACTATTGCAGATTTATCCAGACAAGAGCTGCATTGAACTAAGCATATATTTACCTTTCCCTTCTTTTCCATAAGCCAGGGATGGAGGAACTGTTAATTTGCGCTTCTCTCCTACACACATCTCTGTCAAACCTTTATCCCAGCCTGGGATAACTTCCTTGATACCCAGAGTAAACCATGTTGGCTGGCCATCGTTATGCTGGTGGCTGAAATAAACATAGAACACGTTATTTGGTTGTAATATATATGTGGGAGGTGACTGGGTGCAATTCAGCTTACAGTGAAGATACATGTATTTACATGGGAAGAGCAGACAGAGAGGGAGAGACCTACAGTACTTGGGTTTCCTTTACCTCCTGTGCTCCACTTGCTCTGAATTTGGCTTATCTCTTTCCCATGTACTCTGGAGTTCCTGTTGTCACTTCCTTCTTGTCCCCTTCTCTCACAACCCTCTCTTAGGGACAAGACACCTTATCTCTGTTCCTAAGAGGCAGTGGGCAGCCATGGGTTCCTGCATCTCCATCTTAGTCAGTTAGAACTAGGATTCCTACCGCCTCTCCTACGTCCATATACTTCTATCATAAATAATGACTTACTAATTTTCCTAACCAACAAGTCTAAAACTGGTTACTTTCCAGGGATGCAGCCTTCTCATACTCAGAGGGCTAATGCCAGAACTTAATGCAACTGCTAGCTCACTGTGTGGAAAAGACTGACTCTGTTGGTCTCACTGGTTCTTAACCTTGGGTTACTCAGGAGTTTTGGACTGCAACTCCCAAAAGCCTTCACCACCAGCTGTCCTGACTGGGGTTTCTGGGAGTTGCAGTTCAAAAGCATCCGAGTAACAAAGGTTAAGAACCACTGGTCTAAATCATAGGTCCACAAATTTCACTCCACTGGCAGATTACATCCTGGGAGCTCATGAACAATATAGTCTCTCCTCATTTCTCTCTACCAGCCAACAATCTAAATGACAGCTAAAACAACTGGCTTCTACCCTCTATACAAGGACATTTTAATTAAAGACCAGAACCCTAGGAGCAGCAGAACGCTTTGAGGAAGAAATTCATCATATAACGCATACTTCACTTTTAAACTGATTCCTACAAGGCAATTTTAAAGGCAAATTATATAAAGCCACATATAGGTTAATAGCATTACTAAAGATAATTAAAAATATAAAAGAAATTTTAGCTAGAGCTAGCAGAAACTGGGAGTGCATCTTAGGGGCAGAGACCTCACAATTATTCATGGTTAGGCAGATACTGACTGTTGATGGAATGCTCATTGCTTTCCATACTATTCTATTTATGGATTTGCATACAAAGCAAAGACACAATAAGCTTCTGAACAGACCTACCAGAAGTGTGTGGCAAACCTAGTAATGCTATTACTCAAGAGATGGGAGGTGTAAAGAACAATAGAATAGCAATGATTCATCTGGTAATAAATATGGATACCTCTCAAAATGTAAAATATCCTAGTTCACTTTACTTTTAGCAAAGAGCAACAACACCTTCATACTATATAATATAGGGTCTCATACAAATGTATGTACTGATCTGCAATCCCTTCAACTCAGAATGCATATGCCCCAGAGAACACAGTAGGCTTTCTTCTATTGAAAAGTTGTTGGTCTTGTATGTTGAGCCCTCTGAAGTCCAGGAGATATAAGATGTAAAACATGCACACACACAATTCCAGAACTTATCCATCCATTCACACACACACACACAAAGAATTCCAGAACTTATCCATCCCTTTTTTAATCAAACCAAATCCTTACCCATCCCTGCTGTAAACTATGCAGAGATAACAGAGACCTTTTCTACAAACACAGAGAAGCACAACTAGTTGCTCATTGTATAGAAAAGTATCTGTGCCACTATGCCATTCTTGATGTCAAAGCACAGCAGACATGTAGGCATGTGTACACATCTTAGTCGTTCTGGCTCAAGGCCAAAAGTTGTGGGAGGCTGCAGCCCAAGCTGTACAGCCCTTTAGAACTAATGAGTGGCACTTGGATTGGTTTCTCGTGCAGGTATTGCCTAGCTGTGGATTTATTAGGGGTTTTGTAACCGCAGCTACATTTGCTTTTTATAATGGGAGGACAAGAATCTTATTACTTAGACCTGCCACCATATGTCCACTGTGCAAAGGTCAGTGGCAAACTGCCACTAATTTAAGAAGTCAAGCGCTGTGCTTGCACACCGGTCACATGACTTTGTGCACAACAAGAAACGCAAACACTGACTTCTTAACTCGTGGCAATTCATGACTGACATTCACACCAATGAACTTATGCTTTAATCATATACTTAATAATAATTGTGTGCTGTCAAGTCAATTCCGACTTATGTCAATTCCAACTTACAGAAACTGTTTCTAGGTGATGAGTACTCAGAAGTGGTTTACCATTCCCTTTATCTGGGGGGTGCCCTAGTACTCTGCAGCTTGCCCATGGCTACACAAGCTGGCTCTTCTCCTAGAAGGCACAGCAGGAAATTGAACTTCCAACTTAAAACACCAAGCTTAGCCACTCAGCTAACTGCATTCTAGCCAAACTTTATTACTGATTTATAGTGAGCAGAGCCTCCATATTTGCAGATTGTAACAAATACATAAGATAGCATTAATTAGCTACACTGGTATAAGTTCAGCTTTGCTTCTTCCACTCAGTCATGGACTATGGCAGCAGCTATACTTCTACTTCCATCTACAGCATGTAGCTTTAAATTCCACCCCCCCTCAAAATCATGTCAGCAATCTGGCATACCTGGTATGCTCACCTGTTGCACTGGAGTAATGTTCACCCATTCATACCCCTACATCTCTTCCTGAACCCAAGGAACAGATTTCCCCAGTAGCCAGCTGTCTGAGTAGTGTGATCAGTAGCCACTCACTATCTTTCAGTTTGACTCTGTTTTATGACAAAGACTGAATGTGGAGTAGAGGAGAGATCAGGATATCCACTTGAACTCTTGGAAGAAGGGTGTGATTAAAACAGAGACTGCTGTTTCACAGAACCTCTTACATGAGAATTCAGCAGAGAACCTACAGTGTCTTTTTCACTACAAAATCAGAACTTGGAGAAGTTACTGTTTTGGACTACAACTCTCAGGCACTTCCCCAGGTCAGCATGATTTAGGGTTCTGGGAACTGTACCCCAACACAAGCAGGAGTAAAGGGGGGGATTTCGGGGAGGGATACTCACGTGGAATGAAAAAGGGACCGGTTTTTCTCGAGAAAGCCTTCATAATGCACCAGCAGCATATCTCCCAGCTTCGTCTTCCTCTTGCAAACGAACGGTTTATGAATCACTTCGATCTTTACCTCTGGTTCTGGAATGAGAGCTCCAGCCCCCAAAGTCAAAAAGGCAAAAGAAACTAACGTCCAAAAACCAACTTCCATTTTTAATTTTGTTTATCGGAATAAATGCCCTTTGAGTTTATATCTGCATTTCAGTTAAAACTGAACATGAATATATACGTACACAACCCTCCCCTTTCCCTCCTTTAATACTACGGAGACTCAATTGCCCAAGGGTACCGTACTTTAAGATCACCTCGAAATATTTCGTAATTAAAAATTCGGCGAAAAATACTTTAGTGGGACTCTTCCATTGCTAGCAAGCGACGGATTCTGGAACAGCCGTCCGTGAAAATTCCCCTTCACAACAACGGCGCAAAACTGGGAACTTCCTCGTGTTTCTGGGCATTCGCCAAGAGAAGGCTGCGCTACCAGCCTACTGCCAGGCTCCGTGTCCCACCAACCCGCTTTCCAAGCCCGCAGACGTGGCAAACTCAACCCCTAATACGCGCTGAAAACCAAACAAGCCCTCTCGAACCATTGGCATCGCTTATAACGCCCCCTTTCTTTCCCTTCATTCTGGTTGGCTCAGGCTGGGATTCCAGGCTAGAATAAAGATGCTCTATTGGGGAAAACCCCTGCTCATCTTCTTTTTTTTTTTTTAATCAAAGATAGTTTCCTCTCGAAGCGAGGATTGGCCATCCCAACATTCCAAAAAAGAACGCTATGCATATATTTCGGAACCCCTCCACACAATACAACCGGCTTCTGTGTTGCTACCATTGGCTCGCCCAGCAGACAGAGTAGGGTTCTCATTGGCTTCGGACAGCCCATCTGCTTTCTGGCGTTCTAGCCACGCCCCTTTCCCTCGTCACGTGGCGGATTACATTCAGAAACGCGTTTACGCCACTTCTTCTCCCGGCGAGAGTTCTGTAAAGAGGTAGTGGAGCCTAAACTCTTACTCTAGTAGCGTAGTGCTGCGAGGCGGGTTGATAGGGTCAGGGTGGGGGGGGGGTGGGGGGAGAAGGCAGGGAGGCGGGGGCGGGCTCTTGCCTGTCTGCCCGTCTTCCTGCCTGCCTCAGGATGGCCCTGAGTGTCAGTGCTTCAGCCGTGGGGCTGAGGGCTTAAAAGTTTCCTGGAGGAAGGCCGGGGAAAGCATCCCCCGTGTCCCAAGCAGATCTGAATGGGGGCTCGTTGTCACCATGGAGGGGGTGCTGTATAAGTGGACCAACTATCTGAGCGGTGAGTATCGAGGCTGCTGGGTCTGCCCTCTCTCGCTCCCTCTCCGGCACAGCAGTGCCCCGGTCAAGCAGTTGCGCCCTGTCCTGATCCTGTAACTTGGGACCGTAGGTATTTGTGTGAACGTATGAATGTTGAGAAGCGGAGTAGAGGCTTGGAATCCCCGGAAAGAAAAAGACAGTCGTGTCACAGATTCTGACGCCTTTGGTGGACTTTGGACCCCAAGCCCTGCTGGGGACAGACCGATCCTAAAGATTAGAAGCAGAAGGCTAGGGTAGCTACTTCGCCACCTCCGCCCTCAACATTAATGGCCTTAATGCGCTGTTTTTTTTTAATGGTTTCGTGCATGGAGAAGGTCCAAGTTCAGTTCCTGGTATCTGGGGATGATGAGATGGGTTAATGAACCTACAAACATGTTGTGAGCGTCAGAGGAGGAAGCATTAGACCAGAGGTGGATAAATAGGTTGCTCTTGGGAGACTTAGCACTGTTGTGGGAATCTTTGTTTCATCAACGTGATCACCAGGTTTCAGTATTATACACGTGTGCATGAGAAGAGCTTTCTAACCAAGTTGGTGTGTTAACCTGTTGCAACGCAAAGAACAGTCTATAGTGGCACCTTAAAGATTAATAACAAGTTTCTTGGGAGTCTAACTCACATCATCGAAGGCACAGTCAGAAGTGGATTTGTTGTTATTGTGTTCCATCAAGTCCCTTCTGATTTATGGCAATTGTAGTGGCCTTTAGAAGGTCCTATCCTGAACATCCCCGCGTAGCCTATCTAAACTAAAGGCCACAGCTTCCTTTATCTAATCGATCCATCTTATGTTCAGCCTTTATTTTTTCCTGCTGCCTCCAACTTTACTGTGCGCTCCAGTGAGTCTTTTCTTCTCTTGCCCAAAGAAGTGGGCCACAATCTACTAAAGTTTATGACATTTAGAACTTGCTAACCTTTACGGTGCCACAACGCACTTTGCTGTTTTCATTGGAAGAGTACTGATGCCACAATCCTGTTTTAAAACATATTAGACCAGCAAATGATAGCATATAGTCTTGTTTCTTTATCTTTTACTCCATTCAGGTCTATTTTAAACTTGTGCAAATACTGTTTGCTCAGGAAATATTTGTATTGTGTAAAGGGTGCATGGAGAATGGCTTGATAGTGCAGTTTGGAGAGTAAATGAAACAAGGGGGTGTGGCAGTTTCATTTGTACCTTGTGGAACAAGAAGAGCATACTGGTGAGTCAGAAAGATTGTTTCTTAAACATGCAACATCATTTCCTTAAAATCTGAGAGAGCATAAAAATTACATTTCAGCACAGTGCACCAGTCCTTTCTCATGCTAGGAATTACATAATCACATACATATCTTTTGCCACCCTCTTTTCTCTCGGGAGATATATAAGCAGAAAAATGAGAGAGGCACTTTCTCTAGTACTTAAAAGCTATCAAAGTTATTCTTGTCCTTTCTTTAGCCTTTTGCCATATGTGTCTTTAATCATTCTTCAGCTGTCATGAGATCTAGATACTTCCTTTTTAAAAATAAAATCAGTATCCATTGAGTCTCACTTTGGTGCTATCTAGTAGTTACATAGGATGCACTGCTTTTGTGGATGAGAAAAATAATCCTTTGCTTAAAAGGCACAAAAGAACAGCTTGATACTATTCACTGTTCTGTTGTCCCTTGTGTTTGCTCACACACAAATAATGAGGTCCTTTGGGTTTGCTTACAAGTAGAAATGTGTAGGTTGATACTATTCACTGTTCTGTTGTCCCTTAGGTTTGCTCACACACAAATAATGATGTCCTTTGGGTTTGATTACAAGTAGAAATGTGTAGGATTATGCCAGGGAAGCATCCTGATCCTCAAGTAGTGCTGAATTACTGGGATCCAAACCCACTGAAGCTGCAATTTTACAGATACTGTACTTCCCTCAGAGTAAACCTCATTAGACTCTGTCACACTTCTGATTCATATGTGTAGGGCTGCACTTTTTATTGAACTTGGCCAAAGTCCAAAAATTTGCCTGCAAATGCTGAGTCATTGCTGTGTGTATATGGGAGAAAAAGGGTGGTTCCAGACTTAGCAGAGTTTTGCACAGCCCCGACATAGCTTATTCTTTTTAGAAATGGCGAGTTTGTCCAATGAGTCACTATCTTTCTTCACTCTTGTTCTCTTTTCCACTTACCTGATCTTTCATGGAGCTCTATGTAGCACTAATTTTTTTTTTAAGTAGTGAGTTTGTTTTAAATTACAAGCAAAACCTGACCATTGGGATTCACTGCATATTTGGAGTAAGCTTACTAGAAGCTAAAATGACTGAACATCAGACCTGTCATGAGACTACAAGACTCACTGGAAAGAACAATACTGCTGAAAAGAGTTAAAGCCAGCAAGGAAAGAAGAAGATCAGACACAAAATGGATTGACTCGCTAAAGCCAGCTAGGGCTTGTGAGATCTGACCAAGGATGTTAATGATAAGACCTTTTGGAAGTCATGAATTCACAGGGTTGCTGTAACTCAGAAGCAACTTGATTGCACATAACAAAGTAGACTTGCTAGAATAAATGGGACCTAGGTTAGTCAATGTTACTTTAAGTGAGCAAAATGTTTCTGATCATATGTTGAACTGCAGCTGTCAGTGTTCCTTACCATTAGCTATGCCAGCTGAATCTGGAGGAAGTCCAATAACATATATTTGGCTGCACTTTGCCCACCCTGAATTTATGTTCTGTTAACTAGAATTCTGGCAATTTTATGTGTCACAAGTGAAATCGCATACATTGTGGTGGCAAATTGCTGCTAGTACATGTGGTGCAGGTTGCATTCCTGGCCATGTGATGACTATATAACCAGGGACATGACTGGGATCTCATAAATTAATAATTTCCTCCTGTGACCGAACACAGTTTATGTATATGTTCTGGGCACCTCGTGGCGCAGTGGGATCTCATAAATTAATAATTTCCTCCTGGAACCGAACACAGTTTATGTATATGTTCTAGGCACTGATGTAAATAAGTCTACTCTAAGTGTAAGTATGTCTGGATCCAACCCAGCGATCATTAGCTCTGAAATTGTTCATGCAGTAGAATTCTTAAGTCTTCAATCAATGAAAAAGGATGTGGTTTTGTTCGTAATTAAAAGACATTGTGGAGCTTTGAAAAGGTCCTCCATATTAATCCTGGTTTGTCTTGAGCAGGACTAATTGGGCAACTACACAAGTCATCTTTCTACCAGAAGTTTGAAACAATTTGCTTTTAATTAGTTTTCAAAATCTTCATTGATAAAATCACTTAGGAGTATATGTAGCTTTGCAACCTTGCTGGCTGTCTAGCTCAGATTAAATCTGACGCAGTAGTGTAATGTGGCTTTGGGATTAACCCAGTTCCAAGTAATGTTTCCATTTACAAACTCACAAAGTTAATCTGCATCAGTATAGCATTTTCTGTTAATATCAATGTTATATTAATAGAATGTGACATGGTAGAGTTTACATCTATGTTGTCAGAATATGAAACTCAGAATATGAAGTACAGGATCTGTTTTGGTTCTCTTAAAAGAAGCTAGAGCTATTTATTGATACTGCCAATATTATACGGGGATATTAGTCAAATGCTACTTCCTGCCGACACAACCAGATACATGTAATCTTTCCAGCAATCTTCCCAACTCCTAAACATTGGGTTAGTTTGGGGAGGTGAATTAAATAAAACCTTTCAGAGTAAGTCATGATTTTCAAATTTGTATTGACACAAGTGAGGGTTTCTGAACCAGACATAAAATGATTAGACAGCTGGAAAAAAAGAGTTGAAAAACACAGGGTTAAGCTACATGCTACACATTTAAAAAGTGAGATAAAAAACAACAAAGGAGGCAAGTTTTGTTTAAAAATCTTAGAATTCTCCCCTTGACTTGATCTGAAATAAGCTCCTGCGTAGTTACTTTCTAGTAAAAATTGCAACAAGAAAAGAACATTGTATTTAGGCAAAATTGATTGTTACTTCCAACTGGAGTACACCACTGAATATATTTGTGAAGATTCTCAGTCATCCAGGTGAGCTTATCTGGAAGTTCATGGCTACTGGACTTCTTTCTTATTAGGTTGAAATGTTTCGCTACTCATCCAAGTAGCTTCTTCAGTCTGAGGAGAGTTGGTAGGGGGTCCCTGATATATCTTCCATGTTGGTTTCACTTCCTCCTGGTCTGAATAAGCTTGTTAGAAGGACAAAGAACTGGGGGTGAGGGATAATCCCACCTCTGCAGTCCTTCTCCACCCATTGTCATGGGTTGTTAACAGTCGGTAACGGCGGTCTTTCTGTTGTGTGGTCCTGATTCTTCTGGGGACAAATGAAAGGACAGCATAATAAATAGGAGACAGATTGTTATGTAAGGCCTCTACTCCTGTTGTAAACCATCCAGAGAGTGCTTTAAGCACTATGGGAGGACATATAAGCAACACTCTTTGATATCCATAAAATGCTTTAGTCAATACAGTATTAAAGAAACACTTTAGTATTTAAGGGCAAAGTAGCATAAAATTTTAAATGAGTGATGATTTCAGTAAGTGTCTTTTTAGCACATACAGGATGTCGTTGGTATTTGGAGGTCACCCGCCTTCATTTATGGAATTTTGCAAGGGTCAAGACATTATAATCAAATTGTAACCCTCTTAAGTTTTCCTACCATTAGTTTTATCTCGGTGTCTTTCTTTGTGTGTGTGTGTGTGTGTCTGTGTGTGTCTTTTCTACCATTAGTTTTATCTCGGTGTCTTTCTGTGCGTGTGTGTATGTGTGTGTGTGTGTGTGTGTGTGTCTTTGGGCTACCTTCTAATGATTTAGAACAGGGGTCTCCAAACTTTTCGCCATGAGGGCCACATAATATATTTTCCACGCACCCACCCACCCGCCTGTGCACACAATGCATGGGCCGATAAAAAGGCAAGGCGACCTGTACTGTAGCCCATACCTGATTTAAAACAATGAGTTTGAAAACTGGCTGCAGAGTTAAAGGTCAAGAGTTTGATTCCCCACTGTGCTTTTCAGGATAAGTGCCAGCCTGTGTAGCCTTGGTTAAACTTCAGGGTACCACCAGAAGAAGGGAATGGTAAACCACATCTGAGTTATCTATATATTTAAAAAAGGGTTGTCATTAGGCATAGAATTTAGCATTTTTAGAATACGGTGCTAAGAACAAGCTTCAAATCATTACAGCTGTAGAAACAGTTCTTCTCTTTTGGTGAAATTTTACAAGCCAAATTTGTTCATTGATAATAAATCATGTTTTCAATTTGCTCAGTGAGTTGTATATCAAAGATACTGTTTTGTTCTTTCCATATATTATTTAATTCATCTTTCCTTCATTGAGCTGTAATGAATGACCCCTTTTCTTTCTTTGCCCATCCCTCTTTCTGGCTCCCCAAAATTTATAAATATTGTAATGCCAATGAGTCATGTTGGAATATTCTGTGTGGTTTGTGACAGAAAATGCTAAATTACATGCATGTGGGTGGACACATTCTTGTGTTACAGTTCAACAGAAAGCATGGGTAGGCTTACTTATGACACAAAGCAGCCTGATGGTGAATTAGAGGCATATATCAACTAAAGGACTTTACGTATATTGTTTACAAGGTCATTTTTATACCATCACAGTCTGTTGCCATTCGTTGCTTCTCATTTCCTTGTTTTATTACCAGTTGGCCGAAGTTAGAAATAACAGGGTGACTCCCACCCCACCTCAGTTTTGGCTGATGGATGATTTTACTTGTAATGTACTACTCATTTGCCTGCTACCTTTTCTCCAGTGAGTCAAGGCAGCGTATATGGCTCTTGTCTTCCCCAGTACTAGAAGAATCCTGGGAGAAAAGGATTCTGTCTGAAAGAGAGAGAAGCTGGCCCAAAGTGATCCAGAGGTTTTCTTGGCTGAGTGAGAACGCTGTTGTGATTCTCCCAAGTCCAACATTATAACCACAGCACTACACTGCTTATGTCTCTCTCTCCCCATCATGCCTCACCGCGTTCAAGTACATGAATTGAGTAATCAGAATTTTCTTAGCTGTACCTTTCTCAGTTCCATCTGTTCCACTCCAATGTCGGTGAGTCCTTTGTTGTTCTCCTTAGCCTGGATAAGTAGAAGCAGCTGTGTGATCAGTACAGTATAGCACATCAATACAGTGTTGAATGGTTTGCCTCTTCCATTCAAGATCTTGGCTTTAATGTCTGTGTTCAGTACACTGTGCTGGCAAACCTGGGTCTGTCTGCGTGCCAGTATTAAATGGGACTGTAATTCTCCATCCGTACTGTCTAGTACAAAAGGGACTTGCCTTCACTGTACAGCAGTCCCCCCACAACATGGTGCTCTTCAGATATGTTGGATTACAAGCCAACTTTCCCCTGCCAGCATGGACCATACAGAGACTGGCGAACCATTAGGAAGAAAAACCTTCTGAACACGACCAAACAGCCCGAAAAACCCACAACAACCATCGGATCCTGGACGTGAAAGCCTTTGAGAATACATGGACCTTACTGGCTGAGGATGATGGGAAATCTTCGGCATCTGCAGAGCATCAGATTGGGGAAAGCTAATATATAGGATAGGTACTGTGTGTATGTCTGAGAGTGCATTCTGGCATGGAACCTTCTCCTGGAGGAACTACCTTTGTCTGAAGAGTAAAGCAACGCATCAGATTGGGGAAAGCTAATATATAGGATAGGTACTGTGTGTATGTCTGAGAGTGCATTCTGGCATGGAACCTTCTCCTGGAGGAACCACCTTTGTCTGAAGAGTACAGCAACATTGCTTCAAAAGAACAGCAGTGACTTTGTGCCACATTCCGTCATTCCAGTTAGAGTGGACATGGATTTTTTGTGTGCAGGGCTAGGAAAAGTTACTTTTTTGGGATGACAGTACTCCATATGTCTCATCCTATCTGAAGGATTCTGGGAACTTCCATCAAAATGAAATTAAAATTTCCTAGCTTTGTTTCTGCAGTTGCTTCTTGTTGGCTGTCTTGAGGCTCTGAGGTGGCCAGAGGAGAGTGGAACACAACAATGCCTCTAGACTTGACATGATGAACTGGGATGGGTCTTAGTTTCTCTGTGACAGAGAATATATTTGGGTTTGAGAACTGAAATAGATTTCAGAAAATTGCAGGGAGGCTGCATTCCAATGGTGGGTGGGGTGGGGGAACCTCCTAATGCCATTCTTAGATCCTTCTTTTTGAAATGCACTTGTATTGTACATACATACTTGAATTATAGAGACGCTAGTGTAGGCATCCTTCAGTCTCGAGAGACTATGGTAACGTGCTTTGTATGGAGGACATCGAACAGCGTCTAATGTGGTGGAGAAGGCCAATTTAAGAGTGACAATCCCTTCTACACTGAAGACAAATACGATCTGTCCTCTGTCCAACTCCCTGATTTTGCTTCGACGCTGTATGCGAAGCTGGAGTGTCCTATCCAGATCATGAAGCCTGGATAAAATAATATGGAGGATAGGCTGTTATCCAAGCAGCAAATCCCCCCTTTCCACATCGCTGAAATAGTCCAATGGAAAGGCAAGAGCCAATACAACTGGTTCCAGCGACGTTGCAGGAGTTGCCAGAATGACACGAACTGCCTCCGGGACTCCGCCTCCGGATTTTGCCTCAAGGTTAACTTCTGAAGCCTTTCCCATCAGTGGATAGTTTGGCAGTGGAAGTTTTGAAATCGGACTTTTTCTTCTAGATGGGCTGCCTTCCAAGGCTGACGAGCCCCACCTACCTGGCCTGCTCCCTAATAGTGCAGAAGTATGATCCTACCCCTAAAACTTTCCTGCCCGCCCCCTCCCCAGGTGTATGCAATGTTATTTGGCTTTCCTATTTACCAAATTAGGGTCAAAAATAGAACCAGAGAATTTTGCTTCTGCTCAGACTCATTTAAAGGTAAAACTCCACCCCCTCGAACCATGTGGTCAGGGAGAACAAAGGTCAGCTTAGAAGAAAATACATCACAAAAAAAGTCCCACCAAGCACAGCTCACCTCCTGCCTCAGCTTCCTCCTCAGGAAAAGGGCTTAGCCTTCGAGCTTCTGCTCAAACTCATTTAAAGCTAAAACCCCGCTCCCAAAGACCATGCGGTCAGGGAGAACAAAGGTCAGCCTAGAAGAAAATACTAGAAGAGATGCTAGTGTAGTTCCATTATTTATGCAACATGTTTTGGCTTCATTAGGACTTTATGTACAAACAGCATGTAAACACATCATATACCTATATAGTTCTTCTGGCCATGGTTTAAAATATCTCATTCTGTTTTTAGGCTGGCAGCCCCGGTGGTTCCTTCTCGCAGGAGGGGTGTTATCCTATTACGACTCACGGGAAGATGCTTGGAAAGGCTGTAAGGGAAGCATCCAGATGGCAGTATGTGAAATTCAAGGTAGCTAAAAGAGACAAGGAACTGCAATATGAGTTTTCTTGATTACTAGAATACGGTGGCCATTTCCATTTTTTTTTTATCCACAGCTTCATAAACCAGCTTTAAAAACTGTGGATTTAATCCACACACTTCCTCCTCTCCTAGCTTCTTTGTTTCTCTTTTAGCTTTGTCATGGAAATCGTAGCTTTCATTGAGCTGCCGTCCATCATTATGTATGAGCTCATAAACTCTGGCATCATGTCACTTAACAAACAAGGATTGCTACATGGTGTACCAACCTAGTTTGTTCACTGATATTAGGCAAATTTTCTGCTCCATATATAGGGCTGAACTCAAACTTAATGAAAGCCAGTTTTTGTGGCAGAAAGAACAAGGCAGGGATTGAGTGTATGAATACACTGCTTGGTTTTAACATCGTTGATGTTTAAATGTGGACAGTGACCTCATTTGGATATAAAATACCTTAGTTTCTTAATTATTTATCATCATCATTATTTATTTCATTTTTATACTGCCCATCTGGCTGAAAGTCACTCTGAGCAGTTTACAACATGTATAACCAACAGGCTTAAAATACAATTTAACAAAAGAAGAAATAGAAATAATAAAATGCAAATAAACAATACCATCAAAATATAAAAATAGATTTACCCAAAACATTCATAGCATTTAGACACAATGTGGATGATTTATAATTATTTTATATCTCCAGAGTTTGCATGCATTGATTTTTGTTAAGCACAATTAATTGACTTATTTCACAGCTGATGTTAATATAAACTTATGACATAATGTTGCAACTTAATTTTGATACATAATCTTAGTATAACTTTTTCAAAAAATCCCTCTTTAAGTACTTTCTACAAAATGTTCTGTCTTTACTTTTTTATGTATTTATACAATTTTCTGTGATACAGGATTGCATTCAGTGGCCAGAGTTGTACTGGTCAGTTACCTTGGTTTAAGTACAGTGTCTTAAACTATGGCACCAAATGGCTGCTCATTAACATGTTGACTTGTACTCTTTATCATGTGCTGGTCAAGTGAATTGATGAGCTATAAGATATCCAAGTAGTAACTTGTTACCTAGTGTCAATTTACTACTGTGATTAGCAATGAGGTTAGCATAACTAACCAATAGGAGTCTGGCTATCAGGTGCTCTTGAAATGTTAAAAAATGAGTAAACAAGTAATTCAGGTGACAACACACACACACCTCAATCTCTCATCCCTTTTCTTCCTTCTATGATAATTCACAACTTCCTTGGGCTGAGTCTGAAACCATGGTCCTGGTTTAGTTTGGTCTTGGTATGTGGTACATGGGATGTTACTGAAAACTATGATAGATGAACCAAGGGTGTCTTCAGTTGTTGCACACCAAATGGAATGAAGGAAATGGGGAGTGTGTGAAGGCCAAGACTTTTGTGTATCTCGGCTTCATAAACTAAAATGTGTTATGTTCAGGGCAGCCCTACCACTAGCCAGCATGAATTCTGTGAATCTTGAATTCTGTGGGCATTACCTTTTGGGGCAAGATAGAACCATGTACCCCACATGGTTTGCCTGTACTCCTGAAATCTGCCTCCTGCTCCAATTGGTCATGGAGAATATTTGCCCATTGTTAATGTTAAGGTAAAATTCAACTGCCAGATAAGTTTGCTTCTGTACATGGAATGAGTGGGTTAGAGGCAGCAGGAAAGTTGTTGACCTTTGCCTCAGACGGCAAAATGTCTTAGATTTAATCTAGTTCTTTCTTAGCCAAGCTAAGCTACACTACACCTACATGAATCTATGAGTGTACAGGCTAACTCTGTTGATCTTAGTTCATCCTACAGATAATATGCGGATGGATTTGATTATCCCTGGAGAACAGTACTTCTATCTGAAAGCCAAGAATGCAGCTGACAGGCAAAAGTGGTTGGTTGCCCTGGGAACTGCCAAGGCCTGCTTGACTGACATCCGGACGCTGAAAGAAAAAGGCAAGCAGTCCTCCTAAGGGCATTACTTACCAATTATACTTCTCAGCTCCAGAAAAACAGGACTTCTAATATTTATATTTCAGTTTTCTCAGTTATGGAAACTGAACAATAAACATACGTACAGTTGTGCCTCACTTAACGATTGCCTCGCTTAACGAGGAAATCGCTTGACGATTAGTTTTTTGCGATCTCAAAACGATGGTTTAAATGGGAAAAATCTGCTTCACAATGATCGGTTCCCTGCCTCGGAACCGATTTTCGCATTACAATGATCTAAAAACAGGTGATCGTCGGGTTTGAAAATGGCCGCCGGGTGTACAAAATGCCCCCCCGCTGTTTTTTAGGATGGATTCCTCGCTTTACAGGCAGCGAAGATGGCCGCCTCTATGGAGGATCTTCGCTGGATGGTGAGTTTTCAGCCCATTGGAACGCATTGAAGGGTTTTCAATGCGTTTCAATGGGCTTTTTTATTTCGCTTAACGAGGATTTCGTTCTACAGCGATTTCGCTGGAACGGATTATCCTCGTTAAGCGAGGCACCACTGTATAGTGTTGTTTTTTAGGGAGTGGACAAATTACCCCCTCTTTCAAGGTGGTAGGGACCACTCCCTCTCTCAAAGAGGTGTTCACGGCCTCCTGGACCCAGGTGCGAACCCCCCTGGCTGATCTTCCAATTAGCCAGGATGGGCAAGGGTTGAGCTGAGTGATGGTAGAATGGACAGATCCAAGCACCCTGTCCACATTCTCAGGTCTCAACAATTGAAACTCATCCATTAATACTTGACCTAAGTATGGCACACTGGACACATCCTCTGATTCTGCAGTAACTGTGGAGTCCAACCCACTGCGAATCTGAGCGATTTCCCCCTCAAAATGAATGGCAAACTCATCACAGCGAGCTGATGAGCAGTCTGGGACCTCCACCGGATTTCCCGGTTGGAGAAGATCCCGGACCACCCAAAACAGCTCTGCTGGATGACATTCTGAGGAAGCAATATGGTTGGAGAAATATTGCCATTTCGCCAGCCGTATTGCCACGAAATAGGCCCGATAATGGGCTCTGAGTCGTGTTTGATCGGACTCCCAGCGGGATTTCCTCCACCTGCGCTCCAGCCGTCTCCCCTCTCGCTTCATCGCCCACAGTTCAGAAGTATACCAAGGAGCTGTCTGGGCTCTTTGTGCAGGGAGAGGGCGCTTAGGCATGATCGTGTCAACCGCCCGGGTCATCTCCCTATTCCATAGGGTGACCTGAGCTTCAACAGGAGCACCAACCATATCAGATGGGTAATCCCCCAGAGCATTCAGGAATCCATCTGGATACATTAGTCTCCAAGGGCGGATCATCTTAATAGTTCCCCCACCCTTGCAGAGGGGAGAAGTAGCTAATAGACTAAACTTGACCAGGAAGTGGTCTGACCATGACAATGGGGTCACAACCAGCCCCTCCACATCCAAATCACCATCTTTCAGTCCCGTTGAGAAAACCAGGTCCAAGGTATGGCCCTTCTCATGCGTCAGGCCGATGACATGTTGAGACAGCCCCATGGTTGTCATGGTGTCCATGAAGTCCTGAGCCGCCCCAGTCAAGACAGCCTCGGTATGAATGTTGAGGTCCCCCAGCACCAACAGCCTGGGAGTCCTCAACACCAGGTCCGAGACTACCTCCGACAGCTCAGGCAGGGAGACTGTTGGTATGCAGCAGGTTGGGCGGTACACCAACAGAATCCCTAATCTGTTTCGCAAGCCCAACACACAATACAGGCCCTCGAGACCTCCTCTCAAAGGGATAGGAAGCCTGGTCAAGGAGATAGAACTCCTATAGACTATAGCAACTCCCCCTCCCCGACCCTCTGAGCGACCTTGGTGCCGGACCGAGTACCCAGGCGGACACAACAGGGAGAGGGGGACACCACCCGCCTCTCCCACCCAGGTCTCAGTAATGCACGCCAGGTCAGCACCCTCATCCAGAATTACATCATGGATGAGGGCAGATTTATTTTGTACTGACCTGGCGTACTGGACTTTTGTTTTGTACTGAACTTGCAATATATTTTACCAAAAGAAGTTCATAGAATCATAGAATAATGGTTGGAAGGAGTCTACAAGGCCATTGAGTCCAAATCCTTCCTTGCTTTTAATCAGAGTTGATGTAATAAATCATGTTGACTTAGTACCATGTTTGTCCCCCCCCCCAAGTTTTCCTTTTATATTCAGCTTTCAAAATGCTGAAGAATGTGGCTATGGGGGCAGTCATCTAAATTGTATATCTTTGAATTATCTGTTTAATTTTGAGAGTTTAAGGTGCATTGGATTGTAGTGGGTCATAAATTTAACAACAGTGTGAAGTTGTTTTGGACAGATGCTTGTTTATGTTTTGTTTAAAATTCAGAGTACACAGAAAACACAGAAGCACTGAAAACTAAAATGGCAGAACTTCGGCTGTATTGTGACCTCCTCCTTCAACAAGTGGATAAAACAAAGGTAACTGCCATGTCTAGTGTATCACAAACCTGTAGTTATATAGTGTTGAAAAATACCATTTTCAAAAGTGCTGCAGCTGCCGTGCATTTGTACATCACTGACAATAATTCCGAGCGGACAGCTATAAAAGGTGTATTTCACTTTAAGCTTTAGTGCCAGTATGTTTTTTTGTTGGCTGGTGTTAAGGTTGATTGTACTATATTTCCTCTGTTAGGAATTAATTTGTTAGATGTCTTTTTATTATTACAGTAGTATTGGTTTAGACTTAGGTTGTATGTAGCTCTGGATACAATTAGTAAGAGCCGTAGTTGTACTAGAAAGCACTAATACTATCTATAAAAGAATGTCTTACATTCTGGGTGATAGGAGGAGTTCCTAACCATGTATCCACCTGCCTGCACTGCTAAAATCTGTGACAGTCCTAATCAGAGGAAGAAACAAAGCCTTTTTGACTGTGGCATCCCGGGTGTGAGACTTCCACATCGGCTTGCCCAACATCAGTCATTTTGTAATTCTAGTAGTAATGTGGTTTGTATTAAGATTTTGATGTGCGTTTGTAGCATTGTGAACTACTGATGAATTTCGATAAGTAAATAAGGTATCTTGTTTTTGGTAGGTGTGTCCTTTGTGCTGGAACATGTGCGTTTGTAGCATTGTGAACTACTGACGAATTTTGATAAGTAACAGAAGTACATTAAATAAAGTATCTTGTTTTGGTAGGTGTGTCCCATGTGCTGGAAAAAGCAAATCTTTATATCAAAATGTGACAGGTGTCTCAATACTGTATAGTGGTTGTTAATGCCTAGAAATTCATGTAATGCTGAGAATGGTAAATAATCTTCTGATCTTGCAGAATCTTGTTAAAATGGAACCACTGTTGAAATCCACCTGCACAACATTCCTGAAGACCCTTGAAGAATGTATGCAAATTGCCAACGCAGCCTTCTCGTCTGAGTTGCTCCATCCCACGCCATCTGGATCCCCACATTCGGCTCTCCGCAAATTAAACAAGGTAAACGGAATTAGCCTCCGATGCTGCTGTGGGACCCTCCACCCCACCCCTTTCCTCATGCGCAGAGCAGCCAGTTCTGCAGTGAGGGACACGCTGTCGTCTAATGCATCACTAATCAATTGGAGCAACGTACAGTTTGCGTGTTTTGAGTTGTACAAAATTTTCAAAGCTCTGTATATTAAAAAATGAGCAGTGGTGGGCCTCAAGCTGTCAGTGGAAGGATTTTTGTACTTAAGCCATTTGTGAAATGTTGTATTTGTTTTTATAAACTACATTTCTACTCCAGGTCTTTGTAGCAATAAATGACGTTTTAAAAGAGTATTTTAAAAGGCACACACAGTCAGATACCAGGATTTTTTAAAACTTGGAATACAGATAAAACGAAGCAGCAGAACAGCTTAAACAAAACAGTAGTAAAAGGCCATTATATCTGGGAGACCAGTATGACTCAAGATCAGAAGACTGGCAAAAAAGTCTAGTCATTATGGGTTCAGCAAAAAGCTTTTGGTATGTGGGCTAATCCAAACTGTTTCATTCCTGTCCCTTAGGCAATT